CTCAGGCCGGTTCCGTGGTTTATCCACGGTGTCTTCACTATAGGTCAGATCTGATCAACACTGACTTAATCTTAGCTATATGCCTTAACTGGAATAAGCTCTTTTGTAAAACAGAGTTAATCTGTTTATTAAACTTAAAGTCAGAGTCTAAAACCATCCTGAGATTTATAACAGACTGCTCAAGATATGGCTGAAGAGAGTCCAGGTTTACAGAGCTAGGGCTAAACACAGTGACTTCAGTTTTCTGATCGTTGAAGCTTAAAAAATTTGAAGCCATCCATGCCTTAATGTCATCAAGACATTTTACCAGAGACTGAATGGAGTAAGAACTATTGGGTTTTAAGGGCAGATAAATCTGACAATCATCAGCAGTGAAACTAAAGACCATGTTTACTCAGGTTAGACCCCAAAGGGAGCAGATACAGTGAAAACAGAAGGTGTCCAAGAATCAAGCCCTGCAGAACCTCGCAGGAAAGAGGCACTGAAGCACAAACATCACACAGGTTATAATCAACTGGTCTGATGGCAGGACAGGAAGTGAGCCGTATTGAAGCTAATGCCATCCTGTCTGTTTAGATACATCCTCTGTGGAACAAAGGAAACATCAAAGGTTTCCTCTGAAGCTTCTCCTCCTTTTCATCACTCTGTAAACACCCAGGACCCGAGGAGACCAGATTTTGGTCCCATTCAGGTTTGAAGGAGGACTGAAGTCCTACATTCTGCTGGGTGGGAGAAGATGGTCTAAATCAAAGATGTCCAGTCTTGGTCCTGGAGGACCACCATCCTGAAGGTTTTAGCTGTTTTGATGTTCTTCAGCGGATCTTCATGTTCTGCAGAACCCACTAAACATCTAAAACTTGCAGGACAGTGGTCCTCCAGGACCAGGATCCAAGACCACTGCTCCAAAACCTTTTTTTTTTCTTCTTCTTCTTCTTCTTCTTTTGGCTTTTCACTCTTCAGGGGTCTCCACAGTGAGTCTTCCTCCTCCATCTCACACTGTCCTCTGTGTCCTCTGTCCTCACTCCAACTACCTCCATTTTCTCTCTAACTGCATCCATATATCTCCTCTTTTCTTTTTCCTGGCAGCAGCATTTCTAACATCCTTCTACCAATATACCCACTGTCCCTCCTCTGGACATGTCCAAACCACTGTCCCTCCTCTGGACATGTCCAAACCATCTCAGTGTGTCCTCTAACTTTATCTCCCAGTTGTTCAACCTGTGCTGTACCTCTGATGATCCCATTCCTAATCTTATCCATCCTTATCACTCCAAAGGAGAACCTCAACATCTTCATTTCTGCCACTTCCAGTTCTGTCTCTTGTCTTTTTGTCCATGTCTCTGTCTCCAGACCATACAACATAGCTGGTCTCACCACAGTCTTGTAAACTTTTCCTTTGACCTTTGCTGACACCCTTTTGTCGCAAATCACTCCTGAAACTTTTCTCCATCAACTCCATCCTAGCTGGACTTTCTTCTTCACCTCTTTACTACACTCCTCATTTTCCTGGACAGTGGACCCCAAGAACTTGAAGTCCTGCACCTTTGTGACCTCTGCTCCTTGTAGCCTCACCGTTCCACCTCCTCCCTCTCATTCACACACATGTACTCTGTCTTACTACGGCTGACTTTCATTCCTCTTCTTTCAAGTGCATTCCTCTACCTCAACAAAGTTCTCTTCCACCTGTTCCCTGTTCTCACCACAAATCACAGTGTCATCTGCAAACATCAACATCCACGGGGATTCCTGCCTGACCTCATCTGTTAGTTGGTCCATCACCAGAGCAAACAAGAATAGGCTCAGAGCCGATCCTAGATGCACTCCCACCTCCACCTTGAAGCTATCTGTCACTCCTACAGCACATCTCATCACGGTCCTGCTGTCCTCATACATGTCCTACTGTCCTCCTGTCATATGCTTTTTCTAAATCCACAAAGACACAATGGAGTTCTTTCTGACCCTCTCTGTACTTCTCCATCAGCATCCTCAAAGCAAAGATGGCATCTGTGGTGCTATTTCTTGACATGAAACCGTACTGCTGCTCACAAATAGTCACCTCTCGTCTAAGTCTCGCTTCCACAACTCTCTCCCAGATCTTCATTGTGTGGCTCATCAACTTGAGTCCTTGATAACTTGATTAGTTGCTACAACTCTGTACATCACCCTTGTTCTTACAAAATGGCCACCAGCACACTTCTTCTCCATTCCTCAGGCATTTTCTCACCCTCAAATATGCTGCTGAATATTTGAGTCAAAAACCTCATTGCCATCTCTCCAAGACATTTCCAAACCTCCATTGGTATGTCATCAGGTTCTACTGCCTTCCCCTTCTTCATTCTTTCAGAGCCTTCCAGACTTCACCCTCACTAATCTTTCCCACTTCCTGATCCACAGTTTCTATGACCTCTACTCTTCTTTCTCTTTCATTCTCTTCATTCATTAGCTCCTCAAAGTACTCCTTCCATCTTCACGTCACACTCTCCTCACTTGTTAGAACATTACGAGTCCTATCTTTAACAAGCCTAACTTGCTGCACATCCTTTCCAGCCTGATCCCTCTGTCTTGCCAATCGGTACAAGTCCTTCTCACCCTCTTTAGTGTCCAGCCCTCTATACAACTCATCAGACGCCTTCTGCTTTGCTTTAGCTACCTCCCTCTTTGCTCTACTTCTCATCGCCTTATATTCCTCTCTTCTCTTCAGTCATCTCACTGTCATATATCTTCTTGGCTAACCTCTTTCTTTGAATAGCTTCCTGCACTTCACTATTCCACTGTGTACACAGTACGCCCAAGTATGTGGGGGCATTCAGTCTTACATTCTTGACTTTCCTCTTCTCCCTGTGTCTCCTGACACGTTTCCCTCCTCGTGGTCTTCGACTAACGGTAGCACCATTTCTGCCGGCACCCTGTTTGTCAACAGCAATGGTGGCGGTCGTTGTTAACCCGGGCCTCATCCGATCCGGTATGGTTTCACTTTGATGAACTTGCATTATAGTTTTGGTCAAAGTGTTTTACATCGGATGCCCTTCCTGACACAACCCTCACCAGTTACCTGGGCTTCGAACCAGAGGCACACTGGCTTGTGCTCCCTGGTGGCTGGTCCAAAACATCTACAGTTCTGTATCCATGGTCCCTACATGTAGCTTTTAGCTACTGTTTTGCTACTTTTATCATTTAGCTACTATTTTACTGAGTTAAGTTTTAACATCCATTCGGCTATTTTTAGCCTTTGGCTACTTTGAGCTTTTAGCTACAGTTATGGCCATTTTTCAGCTGTTTTGCTACTTTAAACATTTGTTTAGCTACTTTTAGCCACTGGTTTGCTCTTTTTTTCTGCTTCCTCTGTGAAAAGGTTTGTGGTTAATTTGATCGGACCTGATTTGGTTCTGACCAGTTTCAGTCCGTTCTTGCGGACATGTTTTGTTCTGGTCCGTCAGCAGCTCGATGTTCCGTTTTATTCTCACACTCTCACAGTCGTTCTCACAGTTGGCGTCGGTTCTTGTTGGTCCCGTTTGGATTCAGCTGGTTCTGCTCCTCCTCCTCTTCCTCCCACGTTCTTCGTCACGTTGAACTCTTTCTGCTGCAGAACTCAGGTTCTGGGTTCTGTAGGTTCTGAGGTTTGCACCACAGCTCGGTTCTAATGAGACAGAGCACTGTCTCTGAGTGGATGGTTCTGTCTGGTCCAGATGGGTCCGATCCAGTACAGAACTCTCATGTTTCTCCTTTGATGTTTCCTCCTGCTGTAAAGCAGTTACTGTTCGTATAGATGGTTCTGGAGGTTCTGCTGAGTCCATGTGGAGGTGTCTGACCTTTTGACCTCTCAGGTGTCCGTCTCAGGGGTTCGCTCTGAAGACAACTCTGTGAAAACTGGACCTGTGATTCTGCTGCCTTCATTCTAACACAGAAATTAAACCGGTTATTTCTGCTGGACTGGACTTCCAGTTTGGGTCAGGACTCAGGAGCTATTGGTGCCAGATACTCTAATGCACCTCCATACCATCAGAGAGGCAGGTGCTCTTGCTGTGTTCAGTTGTGAATAAAATACGAGTTTATGAGATTTACAAATCATTGCATTTTGTTTTTATTTACATTCAACGTCAGAGGTATCCAGAAGACCCATTTAGTTCTGGTTCTGATTTTAGAGTTGTTGTTTTTACTGAAATGAAAAAAAAAACTTAAATTTCCTCTTAATTACAGATTTAGTTTGTTTTTGACCTTTGACTTTCACCGCGCTGATGATCGGACCAGAACAGAACCTCTGACCCAGGACAACAGCGAGGCAATCGGATCTGAACCACAAACACTTTGATCCTCCTCCTCTGCTTCTTCTTCTCTCACACTTCCCTCTTTATCTTCTCACTGTCGGCAACGTGGTGTCTCCATGGTAACCGCCTGCAGAGAGGCGGGCCCAGGCTGGACACGCCCACTGCAGCATGGCTCACGCACACATACACAGAGCAGGATATTTTAGTAAATGTGGCCGCAGCATCTTAAATTACAGCTCGTCGTTGTCGCCTCTCTGCTGCGTGTCACCGGTTCTGCTCCAAACATGTAATCAGCACCGAGTGGATCTCTGTGTCCTCCTCTGAAACACAGAAACTCTGTGGCCCGGTTCGGTTCTGCTCGCAGGAACAGGATTGTGTTCCAGGCTGGAGACAGAACAATCCTCCTTTAGCTTGTGTAAATAAAAAATCCAGTTATCTTTCAGCTCAAGGCTGATTTATACGTTTATTTTATTGACTTATTTTTAATTTAATTTAATTATTTTATTTATTTATTCTTATTTAATTTATTTAATTTATTTATCTTTTTTAATCCCTCAGTTATGCTCGCAGGTTCTGGTTAAAGAGGTCCTCTAAAATCTTTAATCGTGTCTGTTTGTGTTGTTCAATGAATGTGAGTTTGTGGGAAAGAGTTTTCTGAACACAGCCGGTCTGTTCAGTTGTGGTGGTGCGTTCAGGGACAGTCTGTACATTGAAGCTCTGTGTGTTTTTGTGCAGAAACGCTGCTGGATGACTTCATGTTGACACATCCCATCTTCCTGACGGCCGACAGGCTCCAGCAGGTCCTGCTGCAGCAGTATCCTTCACCCACTCAAACACATAATCAGCCTGATAATAAGCGCTCGCGGCACTGTGCACGGCACCGTGCATGCTCAGGTACACTGTTGAGTGCATGTGACGGGCAGACGTGCACGCTCATGTACATTCCAGAGTGCGTGTGCAAGTGAGACGGGCAGGTTTCAGACGTCAGGTGTGTTTGTGTCAGTGGTGGAGCGCAGCGTTGTGTTTTCCCTGATCTTTGCCTGCAGGCAGACTCTGCTGCTCAGGCCTAATGTTCTGGTTCTGGTTCTGTTTGTTCTTCAGAGAAACAGAAATAACTTTTCACTTCATTCAAACAGCAGCTGACAATAAAAAAAAAACTTTAAAGTAAAAATTTTCAACTTTCTGTGAAAATGTTTTGACTAAAATCAACTTCAGAAGAAACTTTCTGACCTTCATCATCATCATCATCATCCACCATCTAATAAGGTGGAGTCAGGTCCTCTGGACGGATTCTTCTTCTTGAAACGTTTCATCTTTTATCCAAAGGATTTCTTCAGTCTGAGGAGCTGCAACAAACTCAGTCTTATAAATAGCACCTTCTCATAGTGGATCAGCCAGTTTGTTGTTGACATCCAGAACTAGCTGTTCACATGATCAAGGAGGACCATCATCCTAGTAATTGGTCATTATTGCTCTGATGGATGCTTGCTATTCACAGAGGGCTGAGTGATACTAACAATAACAGCATTATAAGAGGGGGACAGTAGAACACATAGGCTCCGCCCCTGTTTAATGATGGACGGTTTCTTTTCACAAAGATGGCCTCCTTCACTCCTGAAAGCCACTGGGACGTCATGTTTAGAAAATAAACGTCTCAGTTTCTCTGAAACTCCTGCAACATACGGAATGACAACTGGTCAGGGTCTGGATTCCTCTTTTTCACCTGATGGCTGACTGGAGTCCTGTTCGGGTTTCTTCTTTCAGGAAGGCCCAGTTAGGATCTCCACATTGCTCTGGAGCCTGTCTTGTGTAGGATTTCTCCTTCTGCCTGGCTCCTGAGTTACTGAGTTATTCCATGTGCTGTAAATATATCTTGATACTTTTTATTTGATGTTGTGATATTTTTGTTAAGCACTTTGGTAACAGTTTCTGTTTTAAATGTGCTCTATAAATAAATTTGAATCTGATCATTAAACGGGGCGGAGCCTCCATGTCCAACTGTCCCCCTCTTACAATGCTGTTATTGCTAGTGTCACTCGGCCCTCTGTGAATAGCAAACAGCCATCAGGGCACTAACGATCCATTGTTAGGCTGATGGTCCTCCTTGATCATGTGAACAGCTAGTTCTGGATGTCAACAACAAACTGGTTGATCCACTATGAGAAGGTGCTATTTATAAGATTGAGTTTGTTGCAGCTCCTCAGACTGAAGAAGTCCTTCGGATGAAAGACGAAACGTTTCAAGAAGAAGAACTCGTCCAGAGGACCTGACTCCACCTGGTTACATTCATCTAGTTCAAGTTGTGTTTATTTTTCATATTAAGGTTTAAAGTTTCTTTACTGTCATTCACATCACATGTGGTACATGTGGTGGAACGAAATTGTGTACACAGGGTCCCAGTTACATCCAACAAAAGTATAAATTGTAAAGAAAAACATTAATAAGATCTACGATATGAACTAAGAAAAACAAGCACTACCTAAACTCAAAGTTCAATCAGGAACTGACTCCAGACCCAGTTCCCTCTGAGGACTGAGACACTGATTTTGGTTCCAGAACCTGCAGGAGGTATCAAAGAACAGAACCACATCTGGAAACATCCACACAAGGCGTGCTCCTGAACCCTAAAGAACTCAGCTGAAAAAGAAGAACATGATAAAGAGGATGGATGTATGTATGGATGGATGGATAGATGATTGACTGACTGATGAATGGATGGATGGATTGATCGGTTTATCGGTTGGTTGATTGATTGATGGATGGATGGATGGATGGATGGATAGATGATTAACTGATTGATGGATGGATTGATTAATTGATTAATGGATGGATGGATGGATGGATGGATGGATGGATGGATTGATTGATTAATTGATGGATGGATGGATGGATGGATGGATGGATGGATGGATGGATGCATGGATGCATGGATGCATGCATGGATGGATGCCCTTCAGGTTCGGACCGGTCCACATGGTTCCACACTCAGCTGCTGATGGAGAATTCTGCTGAGCTTAATGATGAAAAACAAGAGGCATCATGGGAACTGTAGTTCAAAATCTCAGCACTTCTTCCTCACAGACAGGACAGATCCACCTTAATCCAGCCAATCAGAGCGCAGGAATCAGTTAGGCTGTGTGTGTCTGTGTTGTCGTTGTGTAATGTGGGTCATTATGGCTGCTGCTGTTCTGTTTCATGAAGACACTGCTCGTTTGTTTGTTTGTTTGTTTGTTTGTTTTCTTGTCGTGGCAACAACATCAGCAGCAGGAAGGAGGATGTGACCGCAGTCGGACTCTGAACGTGTCCTCATTTCCTTAACTCGAAATTCTCCAGATTCACACAGGAGGGAGAGGGGGGAGGCGGGGAGGGGGAGGCAGCGGCGGAGAGGAGGAGGGGAGGAGAGAGGGACGGGGAGACGGAGATGAGCTCTGCGGAGAGGAAGCAGGCGGTGCTGAATGTGGCATTCAGGTACCTGGATACGTACAGAGAGCTGCTGCAGGAGGAGGGCGAGCGCAGCAACAGCTTCCCTAAGGTGATTTTATGTTTTTATTTAGAGTTTTACATTTATGTTTTATTTTAAAGACATTTAGCTCATTTTTACGCTTTACTCAATGTGTCCCATCTTCCATGGGTCCAGAACCAGCAGAACCTGGACTTCCTGTCCTCTGACAGACTAAAGCTGTGCGGACAGGAAGTGAATTTGATTGGCTGCTCCTGCTTGTTTGTTTGTTTGTTGATCAGCTGAGTTTGTTTACAGTGTGCTGACGTGTTGTGTGTCTGTCTACAGGAGCTGTACATATGTGCTGTCCAGGATCTGAGTCGGTACCCTGAGCTGGTGGAAGACGTCCTGAAACTGCAGAGGTGGACCGAGATCCTGCACTGCCCGTAAGAACCCAACAGAACCCAGAACTCTTCACGTTATGTTCCAGTCTAAGACTTTAACACAAGAACTGCAGAGATGTTCCAAAGGCTCTACAGAGATGTTCTGAAGGCTCTGCAGAGATGTTCCGAAGGTTCTGCAGAGATGTTCCGAAGGCTCTGCAGAGATGTTCCGAAGGCTCT